CCACAGCAGAATGCCATACGACATAATGCTATGAAAGTAACTGAAGTACACTAGTCTTGCCGTGCCTATGTCGGTCTACTGTCGGATCTTCCAGACATCATAAGCTGTAGAGCTCAATCGTCCTGCTAAAGATGTAATATGAGGACCCCATAGCAGTTTGTCGTCTACAGTAATTCCCCTTCATAACAATACCTAAGAAGCTCGTTGTAATATTGTAGTATAATTACCTACCGTTTTCTAAATCTCTCTTGTTGCTTTATTGCTACGTTGGTACATATTCTTGTAAATTCATATATCATTCGAGGTTATTCCGTTTCACTTATAAAGAAAACACTTCTACCATGCCCATGTTCATACCTATTAAGAAACGGGGCTTACATGCTCCTGAACGAAAAGCCCCTAAAACAATAGATAATAAAAAGGCCTATCAAGTATTTTTTATTTTTGTCTTTTTTTTACATAATCGTTTTTTGTGGCTCAGTGGCGCCTTTGGTGCTTTCATTTTGTTTGAATACTTATTTGCTTATTTAATTGTGTAGGCGTTTAGATTTAGGCTATGCTATGATGCAAAATCGACGATAAGCCAATCGATGTTAGAATAAAAAGTTTTTGGTAATAATAAAAATATTTTATGATAACGTGCAACAAAGATTTCTTGCAACTAGGTACATACATTGTTGAAAAAAAGTAGATACAAGTAGCGCCCGCTAACATTAAAAAAAATCGTGGAAATTATTTCTGACGTTTGATTAACGTTACTTAAGGTTTTTGTTCAGCAGTGGATGTATTTCGCCTGAAGATGATGCCTGCAGGTTGCTTCACTGCGCTCTATATCTCTCGTTTCATCCACACTTCTAGTAGAAAATAAAATAAAACTAATATCTTATAATAAGCTTTATTTAATTATGAATTAACAAATATTTTCGTAATTTCGAACAAGGTTTGTGACATTAACTGAATACATATCCCATATTTACCATCTTACAGAAAAATAAACACAGAATTGTTTCTATGAATATTATTTTTATTCTTTTATACTTACTTTTACATTCAATTCTGTTGGAAAAGCATGTATAATACATAAAGTTAATAACTACAATTCATATATCTTCCTCGTGCATCCACAAGCCGACTGAACATGACTTACTTAGTAAGCGAAGTTTTAAAATTAAATTAACTACACAAGTGATTATCCACGAGAGCTGAAGGGACGCTGCACGGATCGCGTCGCTGACACACCTACCTAAGTTTTGGTGCAGCCTTCATAATAAATAATCATGTTATGTTTCATTTTTACATAGCAGAAATTTAAGTCGAAGTATGCAATAAAATAAATGTGCATATAACTTAGTTATTCAATATTCTCGAATACACTTTCGTCACGATAGTAGTTGTGAATGTTAGCAGTGACGGTCCACGCTTGACGACTCGACGTACCGTGATAATTAGACAATATTATACATACAATGCTCCCGAGAGAGGTACAGGCGCGACCTTACATACTTCTCTGTACTCAACAATTAAGTTACTTAAAACATTCACTATACACACACGAAGAGCTCGTTCGTTCATCCAAATCACGCATCTCCACTTCGATTTTAATACCCAAACTAATTTGATTATTCTATCTAGCAAATAGAAAGTAACAATTAGGTACAATTATGGTATTAATCATGTATTAAGTTACAAGGTTTATTACACTCGATTATACTGCAATGGTTGTACGATAATATTAACGATCCATTTAACGAGAAGAATACTTCAATTTGTTTACAATAATTTATCAAAAACCATTATTTAAAGAATTGATTTAAAAATTTCCTTTTACATATCGACAATATTCGCATTAACTATACTCTTCTAAAAAATATGAAAACGACACAACAAGATGTTTATTTTTTTATGTTATAAAACACTTCAAACGTACTTAGCCAAATGAATAACTTCTAATGCATTGATTGGATACAATTTTGTGATGACTACATATCCGTGACTAATTCAAAATACCTTACGACGATGTCAGTAAGATCAGCGAACTGCCGCAACTTACTTTTGGTATAAAATATGTACCTATGTATATATCAGAACATACGATTACTTGAAAACAATTCGGTATACTGTTGAGACATCCGCTGATTATAATGACATCTACAATATCTTACTCCTACGCAAATCACGCTTGTCGAAACCTTGCCGCTTCCAGTCCAAGCAAAAATATACAAATGTTTTTTTAAAGCTGTACAATTTTTACACCATCATCTTAACGACCGCCTCGGTCGCGTGGCCACTAGATCTCGTGCCGTAGACATCGTATATAACATGTAACAAGTGATCGTCTGGTGGGTCCACGCAGGCGGCGGTAAGGACGCGCTACCCATGATCTCAGTCTCGTCGCATTCGACTCCTATAAATAGATGACCGCAGTGACAGTCGCGGCCGCCCTCTGTGATCCACTACAACAAATGACTAAACACCTCGACTGTCCCGGAACTGACCAATACTTTGGAATGACTGCAGCGCGTCATCACCGATAACACTCCCACTGACTATTCATCCATTTATCAATTAGTCTATTCAAAAAATGATATACTTCGATCGAAGAACAACAATCAAACAAAAGTGAGTCGCATTAATACAAATTGACATGAGCCCAGAGCCACGTGTTTTGTACACAAGGTGAAATGTTTCATTCAGTCTTGTAGGAATATAGAAGCCAGTTCACTCGGGACTCGACGGGGTACACCGATTGAAACAAATTACGTTTTAACACTATTGTATTGATTCTCTATATAAATTATTGCACACTTAATAATAACATTTATCGAATTAACCAAACGTCAATATGGTCATGTTTGTCACAAAAGCATGTATTGAAAAAGTAAACTGTTACTTACATTGTATCTCTTATTTTAATAAATTTCTGGTTATCTCTTAAAAAACTATAATAATAGATATAAATAAAGATAGGAAATTATGTGGCGTCACTATAGGAACGGAGCCAATTTAAATATTATTATATTCGTTTCCATACAAATCGAACTTAGGTAAACAATGACTAAATAAAGTTATATCTAAAGTACTCATACAAGCAGTAGGTTGAATGAACCCCACTCAGGCACTACATGAGAAATGAGAGGCCCGCAGTCCTACGCTGCGGTAACGTATAAATTAAACCTAGGAAGAAAGTATTGTACCCGGGGAGACAATCAGTTCAACACAGAATACTTCATCAATACACACAGTTGATCATCAAGCGCCGGCTCACTGGGCCGGAGTGCGCACCATTCAACCCACAGCGGACGACAGACGAAATTCATCAACACACAAACTTATTACAAAGTCACAATAGCGGCTGCCGACGAGACAGCCGCGGTACTAATTGAACGCAAACGTACAAAAATAATATTTCACTGCTTTATTTATACGGAACAAAGCGATATACAACTAGTCGGTAAGTAGTAGTTAAACTAGGGGTGTTGATGAATTATGAACGAACGACCTAATGTACAAATCTGTGGATTTGTTCGAACTATGAGCTGGAATGGACATCATCGATGCGAGTAGTGGTCATGAACATAATGCAAGCGATGTCGGTGAGGTAAAGTAAATCTCACGTCTCCACAGAGACAACATACAAATTTACATGTTTGGTGACAATTAAACGTAATTCACTACGGACGGGAACACAAAAATTAAATATTTAGCCAACCGCACATGGCTTCACTTCAAACTTATTTATTGCTAATATTAAACGCCCGTGTCCATCTGCATCATCAGCTTTGAAACCTAACGTATTACAGTGGTAATGTGAGGTCCGCTTCGAAGCGACAACTATTAAATTGACATCAGTTTTAACAACCTGACCGAAGGCTCTCGACTGTCTTAGTTCGAAACTACAGGAAGAACGGAATATGATAATTCAGCGATAGAGCAGCACAATGTCCGCATGTGAGGGACGCTGCCTGAGTGTAAGTATGATTTATCTAAGTTAAGAGTAACTAACACAACTATCCATTTCCTAGTAATGTGGTATGACCGCGTCTAGTTCAACTCTGTTGACAAATACTATTTCTTACGCGATACTAATAGTAGTGACAACAGAAAATTGTAATGTTTTACTTCAATGCATCCGAGTATCTAAATGGAAGTGTCCTTTATTTATTAACAATTAACGCAATAAAGGTATAACTGGTACATACGGCTATAACGTTTTGTATAGTTACTATATTCTGAAATATATGATTCGCCAACCACTCAATACATTTTTATGCACCTTTGTTACGCGTAAGGTCAAAATGAAACTAAAACTTATGATAGCTTCGTATAATGAGTTAGCATTATGGATTACTCAAAATTACAAAATCTAAAATTATATTGAATAAAATTCTGATAATCGAGGATCGGGTAGCATACGATTGTTAAAATAATCGGCAATAAAATTTCATACATTTAAACTTTAACCCAGTTGCTCGATATACACTGGCTCGAGCTATAGTGCGGTGCAGATATATATTTACTTTACAACTAATAACAACGCATCAACTATCTCTCTTGATTCCTTACAACTCTTGTTAACAATTATACTAGATAACAAAAATATGTCAATCACCAAAAATGTTCTAGAATATTTTAACCGTCTTGACTGCACCGCACTATAGTTGGAGCCGACATTAACACGAGTCTTAATCTCAACACATTGGCTGTAGTAGCCTTCAGAAGATTTTGTTAAAGAGTTCGAGAAACTTATCTTAGTCTAGCGTGTTACTTACCGCGATATGAATACGCCCAGTGTTCCGGCCGACACGCTGGGGGTATTCTAGGCATTCAACGTAAGCGTATTTGGAAGTTAATTTTACTGTTACTTAAGTTCCGTACCATCAATAAACGGTCGTGAAATAAACGAGCTAGCGACAGTAGACTGATAGATAGATGTAAGTACATGTGTATAGTACGTATGGGGGGAGCAACTGGGGGTGCGGGCGGTGCGGGCGTGAGGGGGGAGCGACGGGAAGGGGGGCGTCACGCGCACTCGCGTCACTTGCCGGCCCGCGCCGCGCACTTCTTCTTTTTGCGTTTGAAGAAACAACAGCATCTGGAATACACAGATTGTCTGCATGACGATTTACAGAGTCTGTCAGGTAACTAGCTGATATTATTGCACGTATACGCTGCGAAAGATACCATATTGTGCTTTTATACATTTTATCAATCTCTTTGTACAGGTTTGTCTACATTTGTGTAAGGACATAAAACTGCGCCTTATTTCGACTAAACTCGAATTGGGGCAGGTTTCTGAAGACGAGATAGAATTACTATACGCCATGCTTCAATTGTCTCGACGTTTCTTTAGATATCTTATTTAGAGACTGCATATTGTTCATATTAGTTAAATATTAAATTCTTCATGCTATATTTCGCAGCGTAGTGTACATCAGTGTGGATTTTATTGTGATAACAACACTTTACAACATCAAAAGTGGAGGCATAATAAATGGGAAGTGCTTGCAAACATTGGACAAAGGTTCAAATGACTTGGATAATGTATGACATTTCATCTTGATGACGATATGTTTGCAATTTATATTTATTTCAAATATTTTTGTATAAGCAAGCTTGATGCATATATTGTATTTATCATGTACGGTTTTATATCCAAGAGACTAATAAAGTCTCTTTGGAAGATTCATTGTAAAAAAAAATCACATCCTTTACGAATGAATGTTATAAATATTTTATTCCAACGAGAATCGAACTCCCTTTGTTATCCTAAGGCTATTTTAATTTTCCTTTATTGTACATGTTTGGGGGATGATGAGGGAGAAGAGGGATTCGAACCCCACACTCAAAAAACAATAAGCATATTATTTACAATACCAATCATCCCTTGATATTTGTGCCAATACATCACATTTTATTACATCTAGGACCAGCCTCATAGTCTTTCATCCACAACAAACCAAAACAGAACTTTAGCATACCTATAGTTTTGGCTTTATCAGTGACTATATGACTTTTCTGACTATCAGAGACTATAAAACTGGTTTAAAAAGCATGATGGGCAGTGCAATGAAAGGGACCAACCACCAGGCTTGTTTAACTAAAAATATGGTATAAAATAAAAAATTAAAAGGAATGCATACAGTTGGAACACTGACTTGGTGTCGTCTACCACGTCGACCTCGTGGTGCGGCTGGGTGATTGGAGTGTTGCTATGGCCTGCGGTAGGGTCGTCTGCGCCAAGCTCGCCGTTCGTTGAACTCACCACCTGAAGGCCAACGGGTAGCGGTATTTTAGTTTTGGAATGTGAATTTGTCATAATATTTTGGGATAGTTTGTAGATTTAAGGTTTGGTATTGTTGTTTTGTGTTCTTATCAACATTCTTCTTACTTTATTCTAGAGGGGGTCACATATTGAGATGAAATCAAAGATCTTGGATTTAAAATCTCGATATTATGTAAAAAAGTGTTAGGCTCTAGACAGACAGACCGCATTTCAACTGTAATACAACCGCAAATTGCAGTTCGGATGCAGTTTAAATGCAGTCATGGCACGACTGCAATTGGGTAGTTATATTGTTTCAACTTTTCAATGCAATAAATAAATAAAAAAATAATCATACTCTCATCCATGGACTTGAAAATTTATCTACTTTTTGATTATTTCTCGCTAATTTTAATGAAATACGTTGCTATTTGACGCAGAAATATGATGATGTCACAAGTTGCGATCCAATACAAAATTCATAGAAAAGTATCGTTTTTGACATTTCAATAAAAGTATTGAATTAGACTACCTATCACCTACCGTATTGAACCAAACCAAACGAGCAGTCCGATTACAGTTGTATTGTGTCAACTGCGTTTAAATTGCATCCGAACTGCAATCAGCTATTGGTTTTCAGTTGAAATGCGGTTCGTGTCTTTAGAGCCTTACACAAAATATTGTTCAATTACTTTTTTAAAGAACATTAGTGTATATGTAAGGCTACCCATTTAGACATTCTATATATCTACCACAAACATATAAATAAAATATACAATTTTGAAAACATGTCCCACAACAATAAGCTTTCGTATCTACAATAGCCTGTAACTACCATGGATTTTCATCTAGTATGGTGTGGTGTGACCTGTCTAAGTACTTAAACACTACCCAATTTAATTTATTAATGTTTTATGTGTGTGTTTGTGTGGTGTTACTGTCTTGTTGGGTTCGATTCCCGGGTCGGGCCAAGTAATACTGGGTTTTAAAAAAAATCTCAGTCGGAGCACGGCATCTGGAAATGTGCCCGACATATTGCAACAGGCCAACCCCCTATTACATGGGACTCATGAAATGAATAGTGAAAAATGGGTGCTGCAGTGACATTAAACTGTCAAACACCAAGCGGTCACCGGTGACCGCAACCTATTGTTCTATAATTGTGTCTATAATGACGGTACTCGACGAGTTAATTAATATCAAAATGGAGCCTTTTGACCTCTTCGGGGTTAAAAAGGCGTGATGTTATATCATGTTATGTGTTTTTATATCATAGCGATATACTGTATGTTTAGGGTCGAATTAGATTTGACTGAATGTCAGTATTTTTCAAAGAACAATAGTCATCTAATTTACAACCAGGTAAGGGTAGACTAACTAACTAAATTAACTAAAAATCGCGGGTTAATCACGTGAAAATACTGAGAAAAGCTTTACTAGTTTTAACACGTGAAACCCGCGATTCGAGGCCAATTTAGTATGTCTCACGATAGTTGTTATAAAAGCTACGGATTGTTTCACATTTTGGTTAAGCAAGTTGTCCGAAATTTTGGACAAATGCCGCAATAAATGTTAAATGGGACAGAAGAATAAAAATATTCTGGAATTAGGGTTGTGTTTAAGTGTCTAGGTACCTACAGTTTGGTGTTTTAAGTGTCAGTAAAAATACATTTAATAAAAAACAAAAAATAATACGAAACTGAATATAAAAGCCGTCAACCTGTTAAGTATAATGTCAGTCGTTACCAATAAGTATTTTTATCAAAAGCGGTATTTGCTTTTGTCCTATATTTATTTAAAACTGACATTATACACGAGGTTGAATATTTACAACAACAAAGAAAAGACATAAGCGTCAAAATTCAGTGAACAAGAAAATTACTATTGCAAATAAATGCGTGCATTGTAGTTTAAACCTTATTTATATTACATAGCGTCCTAATTAGAAGCTCAAATCGTGTACAGAATACTTTATGAATGAATATTGGCAGTGCTTGGTTCAAAGCTTCAACAGTTCGGCCAAACTACGTGTGTTTTTAATATTAACCTGTTATTGTAAAAGAAGCTCTATTTCACAAACACAATAACCTATTATTCATCAACTTCTATTTAATTAAACATTTAGTTAGGTTCCAAAAAAAAAAAAAACAATATTAAAACTAGTTTTTTCATGAATCTGTTAGATTTGGTAATCGATAGCGATAATCGAGAACAAAGTCAATTCTCTATTTCTATTTATTCAATAATAGAGAAACGTACGAGTACCAGAAAATGAAATGGTACAGACTAAAATTATTCTTGTAACTTTAATTAGGTACAAAAAAAGATATATGATAATATATGGAAACGTCTCCTAGCACAAGCAATTCCTTGCTTAAAAAGTGATCTCTAATGTATGTCCAATGTGTATTCTAATATAAACTTTTATTTTAATAACAGGAAAATATCAAATTAGCGTAGCATAGGCCTCACTGGTAGCATTTCAAAGCGTCATGCAGACATTCACACAAGGATTGCCGCAAATATATTCAAAACTGACCGTGGATACCGATCCGGGAAATTTCACATACCGAAAATGCTTATTCTTCAATAGCTAAAAAATAAATACACCAATATACATTCACAATTCACGTATAAAACAATAAATAATGCGAAAATAATATTTTAAATAATAAAATAATGAAGGACATGCAGTGTGTTTGTGTTGTAATTGTCTACTTCATTAGGTTTGGTGAACTACATACTTTGTACTTTGGGTGGGTTTCTTACTGCTAAAAAATGGGTGAATAGACTAAATACCATTTTAGGATATTGATCTTAACCTAGTATGTGATTATAAAATTTAATGTCGAGATATCCTTTAAAAAGTACTTAATAAGTAAATTCCTTTCGAATTACAGTTACAGGTCTATCAACACTATTTTATACTTCTTTTTTATAGTTATAGAAATTCTTAAAAACAAATACATTCTTTTTTATATTCTCATAAAATAAAATTGAGACGATACTTTGAATTTTTATGACCAATTTTAAATAAGAAATAATGTACTTTAATTTCAATGATTAAGTAGGACTTCAAAACTTTTTAACCAATAAAAACAATGCAACGATTTGACAGCTAGACGAAAAAAAAAGAGATGGCCGCCGTTTTGACAGTATTTTTTTAAATCTGACCTGCACAGATCCATGTCTGTCTGCGGGCGTGAGATGGCCAGTATTAAGCGGCGTTGCCTTCCCGCTGTGTGGCCAGTTACCGCCCGTGTTCGCCGTTCCACCTGTACCGAAATCCTTCGTCTTCGCCAGCGCTGCCATCTGGTGGACACGAGTCGAAATAATAGAATCCGTGTGGTAATGTATTACCGGTTGTAAAAAGTAAGTGTTACATTTAAATATTATCGTACAGATATTTGAGAATAGACATTGTCAGTTATATCTTTTATTCTACAATCTTGCGGTTTTATTCGGTTGAAACAATATGGGTTGGCTTTATTATTTTAGACAGTAATTGTTCAGTTATCTGTTTAAAGTGTAATATTTAAACAAACATAAGTAATGATGTGAGTATATTTGTGAGAAAACTAAACCCTATTCCCTACACAGATAAGACGAATTTAGCACAACGTTGGAATTTACAAACAAACACATGGAGAGTCACAGGTTCCATACACGGGAAGGTGAATGATTCCACTTCGTTTTAGAGGCAAAACATATTCATTCCAGAGAATTCTACAAATGTAATGGTCAAGACACCGATATGAAACTATGGACAGTATTATAATTTTTAATACATTTGCAAAACTTCCAGAAAAGGGGCTTGATAAATGTAAAACTCTTACTGTTGTCCTATAAAACCATTTCATTCGGTAGCATTCTTAAAACTCACACAAAACACAATATTCTTTGTTAGAATAAACACTAGCGAACATCCCTAAAGCACTAAGCAACGGTAATGACATGAATGGATATTGTTTCATTTCTACATCTATAACTCGAGCTCATAGATATAATATTGTAACAAAAACTACTTCAAGGAAAGACTGCTTAAAAGGCGAGACAAAAACAAAGGAGGATGTAAAAATAAAACATTAGATGGAGTAACAGGGTCACATCAGTTTATCAGAGCACTAAACACGGATTTTGGTAATATTTTTGATGGAGAGTTTTGAGGCGAGCGAAGGGCAGCGGGTATTAAAAACAACGAGAGTGAAAGCGGGTCAAACCTCTCCGGATATTAGCGCCGCCTCATCGTCCTCAACCAAACCAATCATATAATCACACAAATCATCCTGCACCGACAAAAAAGCTGAATCAGTACGCGGCACGAGCACTTCGCACACCAAAAAGTTATTGCATTAAGAAAAAAAAAAGAAACCAAGATGGTGTCTCGATTGGCGGGCTTTTTGACAGATTACTTTTTTAATTTTCAGTTACTCTATATCTTCAATGGGGGCTTAAAAATATTACCTATTTGAAAAATTATTATTAAAGAGAAGTTCAAAATACATAAGTATAAAATACTTCTTACTATATAAGAAACAAAATTAAAATATATCAACAAAATTGATAGAAATAGAAGTTAAATAATAAAATATGAGCATTCTTATGAGTGGCCCTAAACTATTGCCATGGTTCACCTATTTATTTATTTTATATTACAAGATGGATGGGTGTGGTCAAATATAAACCTTATTTACTTAATTTTAAGTATAAAATGCGTGAAATAATTACCTTATGAAAGGGCTGATGACTGTCGCGATTAGGTGAGACTACTATCTCATGTCCCGTCTGGATCGAACCCACTGGTGTTGACTGAAATCATACACATAAAACATTGAAAATAACAGAAATTTAAAAAACATCAATTCACACAAAAATGAAAAAATATATACAATTTCAAAGAGCTTTTTTGAGCGTTAATGTTATTTTTACATTATGGAGAAGAATGATAAATAACCAAAAATAATAAGCAAGACCCATGCTTCGAGATACTAGACATGCCATTCATGCGCAAACATTTGCGCAAAAATTGTGTCACCTAGTTATCGTTTGCGCAACACAAACTTTGCGCAAATGATAAGGAACTAATTAAACATTCCCTTAAGTGCCTGTTAATGATATTTTCGTTGAAGATAATAATAAGTCGTCGCCACTAACCTTGTCAGACTTATTCCTAATCACATTGGAGGGCGGTGCGTTGCGCAAGATTCGCATCACGTGAATGTTCGAAGGCTGTCCACCAGCAACGAACAAAAGCGGTAAGCATGCATGCAACACCAACGTTAATGTACCGCCACAAACCATGCTAACGTGCTAAGAACTTCCCATTTGTTCAATATTCTTTCATATAAGAACTTGTATAGGACTACAGTCAAGTTCAGACCAAATAAGTAGTTCTTCAGCTTTGACATTCCTCGATATGAAGAGTTGCAACATAAAAATAGTAAGTGAATGAATCCCAGTGCCTAAATCAAAAGCTACATTCATGAAAACCAACTCTACACAAAAACACAATGATAAGGGCATAAAATTTTTATTTTATTAAACAAATATAATAAATTATGCAACTTCTACCATTAGCGATGTTATCTAAGGAAATATAATTCAAACAATTATTTTAATTCATTAATTAGACCATCATCCGTTATGGTACGATCGAAAAAGAAAAAAATATTAACAAAAATTAAAGTCCAAAGAACAATTTGTGAATAAATATAGATGCCGTTCGATGGTTTGAGCACGTGTCGATATTTAACACATTTGTGTTGTAATTTGGTTGAAACATGAGGAAGCAGTACAATCAAAACTTAGTAAACTAACATCAGTGTTCAGCAAAAAATGTGCAAAAGTTGACATTTTGGGAACCATGATTTTTGTATTTACATTGCACTTCCTTAGGCAGTAAATATGAAGGTCGAAATTGGCGCATGCTTTGCCGTTCGAAGCACTCAAATAGATGTTTTAATGGCGAAATGAAGTGAATGTCAACTTTTGCAGGGTAATGAAGACATGGAAAGAAAGGATCAAGTCTGTCAACGACGCATACAATGTGTGCGATGTAGCTTAGCAAGATATCAGGCAAAGAAAATACAAATATATCGCGTCCTATCGCGCACGTGAGATATAAAATAAGGTCCATTATTTTAATCTAGAATTAGTGGTTTCTTGAATTATTCAAGGACGCGATAAGACAGATAGACTCATGCCACCAAAAGCCCCGAGTTTTAGAAAGACAAACACATTTGCTACTGCAAACTTGGAATGAAACGGGACGAATTAAGACTTCAAGGTGAATAAACAAAACCAGAAAGAGATTTTATCGTTGAATTGGTATTGTGTTTAGCCAATAAAGTATCTCTTTTAACTGAAGACAATGGTAATGTTCACAGCAGTGGTTTTTCACAGTTTCATAGATTTTCGTTTCAAAATAAGCGCATAATCATTTTTGTTTTGTTAAAAAGTAATGAAATTCTTTTAGTTTTATCCTTATTCATCTTGAGTATACATTCGTCCCGTATCACCGGCAAACTGATATGTGCGACTATTATGGAAGAAAAAGACTGAAAATAAGTTCAAAATTAAACCAGCTAAGTTACAGCCACGTATAAAAAGAATCAGACAGCATGTTACCGTAGTTATTACATCTTTGAAAATATTCGTGAAAAGGCGTTTACCTTTACGAAAATTCATTAAAAAATCTACAAAATGTAGTGTTCTAATTTCGTCACATAAGCTTTCGTTATAAGAAGCCGTTAAGTAAAGTATTCGGTATGTAATGGCTATTTTTAACAGTAAACAAACGAGCCCATAAAGGCACAGCTACGCAGGCACGTGCAAGGCCAAGCTTTGAGGGAATACCAAAGTTTTTAGATGGCAATACATTATCAGAAATTATAACGAATCACATGACGAAATATATTTTACTGTGTTTTAAAAGAACCTTTGGTATTTTGTTCATCTACGGTAAACGAGTAAGTACAATACTTAATTGAGATTTGGATATCGTTACAAGTTCAGATAAGTTAATAAGGTCGAAAATCGTTAGTAAAGCGATAAATAGAAACACACAACAAATATAAAAATTCTCATACACGCGATACTTGGTATCGAATAATTTAATTTCCTTTCTATTAAAACAATGAGTAGAAATAATTATTTAAACTTGGAAAATCTTGTTTGCAGTTTAAGTCGAGTCCAGATGCCAATTTATAGACTTTGTACGTCTACTTCGCGCACAGGCTGACGGGAAATAGAAAAATAAAATCAATGAACAACCTTTTCTGTGGGTTTTCTTGTACTTAGCAAGTTAAAAATACGAATTTCGGTAAACATCTTTAATTGCTTTCTTACTTTTCTGTTATCAGAAGACTATTTATAGTTAGAATTTTCGACATTTCCGGACTATTTAAAACATGTTTAACGTGGAGAGAAGAATAGGGTAAAGACGAAATTTAATCTAGATTGACTTGACTGCTAAGTAGTGCAGTTTTGGTTACTACATTCGGAACGCGTACCGATAGCAATTCTAGATGTCTCGATAACATTTCTCGATTCGATTGTGACGAAAGATTACAATTTTTGCTGGTATATAATGTGACCGAATTTGTTGGTAAATCGCATTAGGTCAAATTCATGTAATAGGTACCAAGTTATGATCTCACAAAGGCCTACTATATAAGCATAAAAATAATCAATTATTTTATCACCCAGACTGACAGAAGTGTTTATATTTTGCCGTAAATGCGATAAAATCGTTACTTACGATTTGATTATAATTCTAGATACCGAGAATCGCGTGTATGATTGTCAGGGAGTGCGTCCACTTATCGGCAAGAATGCAAATACTTAACATATCCGTATTATCAAGGACGGAATTCACTTGTGACTTTCAAGAGTCACGTATTTTGCCTATAAGTGAACGAAGACGAGGGCGTAGCCCGATTGTTAAACCTATAACATCATAATGCAGTTAAGAAACTATACTAGATGTTTTCATAAAAGTGTTTAGGTTGCTGTATTAAGGATCTTTTCGTATTTGCACCTAGGCAAAACTTTGAGCAAGCAACCGCCACACGTGTGACGTCAGCTACGCCCTAGAAGGTATTAAAGTAACATAAGTAAGGTGTAGGGTTGTCATGCTACGGAATTGTTTACCATGGTCTTGCCAGTCCAGTCGAACTCGCCGTCGTCCACGTAGCCGCGGCGCTCAAAGAGATCACGGAACATTCGCCGCAGCTGGTCATAGTCGGGAGTCTCGAAGAAGTCGAGCCGGCGCACGTAGCGTAAGTACGTCGCCAACTCCTCGGGATGGCCTTCGCATAGCACCTGTAGTTTATTAAAATAAAGTTTTAGAAACAGATTTCGCAGATTGTGATTGTAAGTTTAGAGAGTCTAATTGCTTTATTAATAGAAATGCTACTGTTGCAAGGCAAGTTCAATTAGGTTTCACAGGGACCCCTATATAACCTCTCGCGCGTTTCTTGTACACACGGGTGTACGAGAGAGTTGAGTGCTTATCACCCCAATTGTACACACGGGTGTACGAGAGTGACTTGCACCGATTGGAAACTTTTTCTGTGATGTATATTTTCAAGTTGCAACCTGTTCTTTATTTGATTGAACAGTATATAAGTAGTTCATTCGCTTTCTATTAAACCCGTGTACGAGACGCGTGAGAGGATAAGTTAAATTGTTACATTAATTTTAAACATATGTACTTGAATAGTGATTTGATCAATTGTTGACAATTTTAAAATTCAGATGAAAACTCGACATTAAATCAGTTAATCAGTCGCAACATGAAGCCTAATTTGATAATTTCAAACAGACGGAGTAATTGATTTTAGTACATACACAAGGTGCCTTCTATGATTTCAAGGTTTTTCTAATATTAGGTATCGAAATATTAATCACGATAAGGCATCAAGGTAGTCTACTTACGTATGGTAATAAAACAAATAATTATCTTTCCCAAATCAGATAACTGTTACTATTACTATGGGTAATAACAATATACTAAAAGTAGTCCAAGTTTTCTAAAATAAAGCAAATCCTCTAAGAGACTTTGATTAAACGGACAATACCTATTCATTCTTATTGAGAAATAATTGTATGTATGCTCGTATGTATATTTAGTATGGTACCTTATACTTCTTATTTATACTATTATATAAAACGGAAGAGTTTTTTTTTATTGTTTGTTTGAATGCGCTAATCTCCGTAACTACAAGTTTGATTTGAATAATTCTTTTTGTGCTGGATAGTGCATTTATCGAGGATGGCTATAGGCTATAAAACATCACGCTACGACCAATAGCAAGAGCTGAGCAGAGCGAGTGAAACCGCGCGGAAATAGCTAGTTATAATATAATTTTATACTCATTCAATGAATATTTTGTTTAGATCCCTGATTAGTAATTTATGTTCTTTTGACGAAATTCAGGAAGTTTAGTCATTATGATTAGAGTCTAACAACTAATCAGTATGGTTTATTGTTAGGGGGAAAATACTATAAAATACGAAACCAGATTTGTTATCACAATAATGGAATTATGGCTTTCCCAAAATGCAAACATTAAAACGAATTCGATATTTATCCGGTATATATTAAATTGCACCCAAAATATTTTTAATAGACTGTCAACTTTATTGCTAAGTAGCAAGATTTAAAATCTATTTTTACTAGTAACTTGTGATATGGTGTATGTATAAATACAACAACAGTATCACACCTATTATTAATTCACAGATACAAATACACTTCAAAGATAAACACTAGAAGTCAAATTCTCAACATAGCAACAAGCTACATAACACAAAACCACTGCGCCATAAAAGGCCTTGAAGACAATAAAAAATATATTTGGCAAAGTAATTCTCAATCTGAGACATTAAACTAGATTATAACTGTCTCAACATTTCTTAGATTGAACAAGGACGGTGCGCCCTAAAAACCTAGTCTTGACCTCCATGCAATAACAATGTAAATAAATGAGTAGGTACTTCGCTTCAATAATTTAGTTAGTGACGTCTGTTACCGTGAAAATTAGGTTCGATGTGAGCACCTAATTGTAACCAGAAGGGAATAGAATAACTTCGTGGAGACGATTAACAGTTATGAGTGCGATTGGAATTATAAAGGGCAACTATAGTTGTATATTTTACATATTTTATTGAAAGTCTTTGTGTATCATTTTTAGGATGAAATGGTGGCACTTTTTCTTCTAAAGAGCAGCTATCCTACATTAAACATTATTGTATTATAAGAGCAAAGAGAATGCAGGTTGCTTCCTACCGGCTGACTTGGAACGCATTAATGTCTTAATATCCCTATCCGCGAGGTTCAGCAGTGCACGTCTTGCAGCAGAAATGATGATAAAAGAACAATACAGCAGAATTTATGCCAGAATTTGTATTTTAGCATAAACTTGAGTATTTTGCAGTCTAAAACCGCAGATTATAATCATTCTCCTAAGAACAGGCCACCATGCTCGAACCCAATCATGAGACATTAGGTCAAATGAATTGTAATCGGTTTTATCATGTGATTGTATTGATAAAATACCGATAGGTCCGCGCCATTGATAGCCTTATAAAGTCATCCGTCAACTAATAATTTATAATATCTCCTTTCTCATTCGTAATTATCGCTCCTAAGATAACAAATATTTCTTCACATAATGTAGAAAATTCAATATTGATTTTAAAAACATGTATTTTTCGTAATATCGTCACTGTGGCGTGTTGATAAGGTAAATTATCCTTTGATTCAAAATTGATTACCTATGAAATATCCATATTTCACCATGGCAATGATTCGTATCGTATTGTTTGACGTCAATGTTTTCGGCGTTAATAAAATAACGTGAAGACTGGCTTTTAATCAATGCTGCCACCCTCTGTCTGTCTGGGTAGCTAGATAGCTAGGTACAGGTATAAATATATGAATACGTACCTCTATAGGCGTCGCTCGTTTGGTGTCACCAATTTTTTGGTATCGCTCTTTAAGTGTATCAGCTTTTAAACCCTGCCAGGGTAAGGAACCACGTAAAAAATACATAAACATATGCCCAAGAGCCTCTAGGTCGTCGCGTCTTGATTGTTCTGTAAAAAGTACAAGCAGACATGTTAGTTTAAGTATGAATTATTGTATGAAGTTGCATGTTGAATACAAATTAGAATATATTCCACGAACTATTTCAATGTGCGGAATGTACTAAGTACGTTTAATGTCGTTAAACTCCCCCAAGGTTAAAAGGGTGATAAGTATCTTGTCTTTCATAGAATATAATAATACATTACCTTTTCCTAAATGTGTATTTATTGACATGTATCTCGCAGTCCCCGTGAGTGACTTGTGTTCCCGGTATGGGATATGTTTGTTTGTCTCTAAGTCTATATATTCTTTGGCCAAACCAAAATCTGAAACAAGAGGCACATTATATTACTAACTTATCCATGACCGAGTCGCTGGAGGACAAAAGCGTTCGATTCCATTCGCTTCAAAGATTTCAGTGGAATCGATTAATTTTATTTATTTATTATCGAGGTAGAATATACGTAGGTATGGGTATAGAGTATGGACGAACGGCTATACAAAAAGGTGGCTATAAATAATTGCTAGTACTGCAGAGACCGCTAAATTCATTGACCTCGTAATGACGTTCATTTTATCAGTTTAAGAATATTGTATTGAATACATCAACGGTACGACCGATGACTGGCTTGTTCATTGTAAGATTTGTAATCAATTGCATATAGCATATCACGCTTCTTTTTCTTCGAAGGTAGAGCACAACCGTACGTAATTTTTGGTAAATTAATTGCCAAAAGCCAGTTTCTTAATCCATTTTAAAACAAAAGTGTCATACAAAAATACCTATCCACATTCTTAATTGTCCACTATCTATTGGATATTTCATTAATTAAGTATTGATATAAGGATTAAAATATCTATCACATGTAAAAATAAACATGGTACTACTTATAAGTACGAAAAGGTATTTCCCTTTATAATCTAATACCTTTAAAGTTAAACGAGCAATTCTTGTATATAATTATGTATCAACTATCTCGGAAACGGCTTCAAAGATATACTTGAAATTTTGTATTATGGGGTTTCATGAGCGATAAATCAATCTAGCTAAGTTTCATTTTCAAAAATGTCAATTACTAAAACAAAAAAACACCGAGCTCAGTCACCCAGGTACTATTTGTCTTAATATATGCGATAGAATAATCATCTAGTACTATAAATCATTGGAAGTCTTGAGGTGATCAGACCATGGCTAAGGCAAGAAGCTTATCCTAAATTAGAACCTATCATAGGTCATAGGTTCATAGGTTCCTTTCATACATATTAATTAGGTAGGAACACTCTGATAAACCTTCTGAACCTTTCAAATTACGATCTGAAACCTGCCTTTGCTAAGAGTGTGGATTATGGCATACCCTCCTATGCAAATGCAGCCTATAGTCTAATTTTTGGTATAGATACTGTATGCTAAAGTTATACCAATGTTAAATGGTCGACAAAACAATTCTATTCTACTAAAAATAGACTGTATTTTATGGTATTTACACTAATAGATACAACAGACAAACAAGACAATCACATGTCCGTCACTTAGAGAAAAACCTACACTAACATTTGTCGGAGAACACGAGTAGTAAACCACAGACCTCATTCTAAGATTATGTTACAACACTATTGTTATACCGTGTTACCTAATCTTAGTGACGCGATCGTGAATGAGTTTATCACTTAAAACCAGCCAATGCCTGAAGTAATACTTCATTACACAAATGAGAATCGTTGACACTAGCCATTACTTTACGTGACTCCTATATTAACACCGGCGTGGGTTTTACCGGCGGCCATCATTATTTTGTGTGCAATAAAATTTCGTTACCATTTTTATGATATTAGGTCATTAGTTTGGTATGGAATTTTTTGTCTGTTTATCTGGTTAGATGTAGAATGAATTAAGGATTTGAAGTTGTATTTATTGAGACCGTGAACTCTGTTGTAGGGTCAAGCGAAGGTAGTATAAAGATTCTTAGCCACCAATTTGTGTCGCGGAGAACCTAACGGGTAACCGGGGCTCCGGTTCGGCGTGCAGGAGAAGGAACGGGGTGGTTTTTAGTCAGTAAGAGTCTGACACTCCCTCCCGCCTCACCTAGGCGGGAGCAGTCATTCGATGATTTTTCCCCCTTAAAAAAAAGCCACAAAGTGGATCTACCTAGACTATTCTAGCTACAGGATCATCACGCAACTGTCTAATATTAGTTGAATCAGCCTAGCTTCTGAGGGAAAATAACCGTGATAAAAACATTACGTAAAGCATGGTAACTTCTAGGAAATCTAGTTTCAGACATAGGAAATCGTCAACACGCAAGCATTGACCAAGCGTAGGGATGTATGCTAGCATTGTTTTCGAGATTTTTATCAGTGTAATGCAAAATCTTTGTGAATTCATTACAAATTACAATGGATCATTAGTATAATTAAACCAACAAACATTTAGGAGAAAATTTTAAATAGCGTAACTTTTTAAAAGACTTCATCTTAGTTATTCATTGTGCAGAATAATAATAACCTAATGAAGATAAAATTTTATGATTACTGTGACAACGTTGGACAAGAGAACAAATCTTAATGCTTGTAGTATTAAAACGCAACGCGTGTCAGATGCGTGTGTTGCAAAAGGTCCATTAAACTTGTATATTCGTTTATAACCACAATCTGACTGATATTCTCTGAAATTACTAGACGAATTTAAAGAAACGCTATCAACTGATAGATATATTATTAAGGAAGGCTTGTCTTTGCGCATGAGTTAGTTTAACTTTTTCAGTCACACTTTGAACTGGTTACGTATACATTTTATTAAATTATACTAAAATGCTTAAAAACTAATGCAAACAAATTTGAAGCATACTTAAAAAATTGAATTTCTAAGAAAAGGTGGTTAGCTACAGCGACCACCAAGACTGAAAGAGTTAATAAAATGTACAGCCATTAATGATTCGAATGAATGAATCAGAATGTAGTTGACTAGTGTAACCAGACTATTTCATTATGGCTGCCTCGTTGGCCGAGTGGTCGCAAGTGCGACTGCCGGGCAAGGGATCTCGGGTTCAATTCGCGGGTCGGGCAAAGTATTACTAGTTTTTTTTTTTTTAATTTTCAGCTCACCCCCTATTACATGGGACTCATAACATAAGTAGTGAAAAGTGGGTGTTACATTGTACAGTGGCATTAAGTGCCGTAATGTACACATTACAGAGGTACACCTCTGTCTTCCCTTTCGAAGATAAAAGGCGTGATATTATGTTATTATTTCATTAATAGGAATGAAGTTTATCTGCCTATAATTTCACTTTTTTGCATTGAATTTGTATCACAAAGTACATACAAGGAGTACGCATGTAGGTACTATAACCACGTTACTTCCAAGAACTGCTAATTCTATAATTAACCAATGCTAGTTACGAGTTTACGTTAGCTATTAGTGAAATTACACGCATTAAAACAATCGTAGTTTCAATGTCAGAATGCAAATATTTCAGTGGAAAATGTTATTAAAGATAATCTGTTTGTCTGGGGGATAATCTGTTGATCGATAAAATAGAGGAAAACTCATATGTATTTTGATACTATGATACAATACAAAGTATCAGACAGATGAAGTTTACATTGCCAAAATCTCAGTTTGTAGATAAATGGCGAACTAAAGCCGAGATATCTAATTATAAAATATTGTTATCATAAGTATAGCAAAGAAAACCCATTAGAAAATCATTGCAATGATTCAGATTATAGCTTAATCTATTTGTGAGATTGGTACGTCAACAAAAGCTTATATTTCTAAATACAATAATAGCTCTCGTATAGCGAAGATAACCCATACCTATATGAAACTCATGACAATGAAATTACGTCGTCTGGTTTCATATAACCGTCTTTGAGATTGGTAGACAATTTTCGAAAAAATTACACGAAAATTTCAATCAAAAGATTTACAAAATCTATTTACCAAATTGATAACTGAATATTCTGACCAACAACTAGGAAATTGGCGGAGTAATTAATCAAGCCAATTCACAGTCGGCCGCAGTACGCAAAACTTTCATTTTTAAACGCCTCATGACTCAATCTGATAATCATGACATCGTAATTTAAATAATCAATTAAGCGTGTAATTACGTGAAACAAACATTATGACAAATTGTTAGTATGATTTTGGTTGTAAACATTGCTTCACATTAGCATTTATCAAGAGAACTTAGCAAGAAACCAATGTTTGAATGTTTCACATCCTTTCCTGTACAAAACTGCTGAACTAATTTTGATAGAATATGTCAAACACTATCATTGGACCTTACTTCTAATAAGTCTATAGACGATTTATTGTGAGGCACGGTTTTTGATGACTTCATAAGCAAACGCGAACGATTCTCTCTCCTGCATGGAAGAATGTTGTAGTGCTGTTTATCGAACTGCCTTAGAGTCAAACGTATAGATACATAAGGCAGTTCGATCCTATCAAATATTGAGCATGAGGAATTTCATGGTTGCATCAATATTCGTTATTGTATCGCCATATCAAGCAGGCAATACGTAACAGAGGTCTTAGTACGAGTTTGGTTTATCGTAACAAGTACGCGTTCGGCGCTCTGATTGGTTGGTTCATTGGCGCCGGCCAATCAGAGTGCCGAACGCGTACTCGTTTCGAATACTTTAAACGTAAATGAAACTCATACTAAGACCTCAGAATCGTCACTCGGCATTGATAAAGTAATGTGTCTACCTAAGGCCTTAGTTACTACAAAAGTAGGTATTCAAAAAGCGCTATCTCAATATCTAAAACCGTACGGTTGATGTGCAAATATCTCTAACAAATCTTAACAAGGTTACATTACAGAATGTTTCCTGTATTTTTCCGTTTTTAGAACAATTTATCAGGGCATGGAGAGAAACTTAAGACTTAAATCATTTAATAACACAGTAATAGTCGCACTAGATAAAATGGCGTAGGAAAAGTTAATATTTGACACCAATGCCTGATACAGATGTGCTACGGTAAATATTTAACTAATGGATGAGTCAATGACCTCTTTACAACAGACATCGGTGACTAATAAAACTTCGTTGGAACCACTCACTTCCCTTTATTCAAGGACTAGATTTAGCCTGTTTATGTCTCAAGTCTTCCATAAAACTGACGCATCCATTTTCTAAATGTTCCATGAATTAGGAAATACCCTTTCGTACAATACAAATTAGCGCTTATTACTGCAGAACAAGATAAATATTAGCATAACATGACTTACCAATGATGTGAATGATTTTTTCCCTTTTTGTTGCAGTTCTACCTATTAAAAAATTTTCCGGTTTTACATCTCGGTATATGAGATGTCTCGTATGGACATACTCGATACGATGTAACTGAAATAGACATGGAACAGTATTAGTTTGTTTCTCCGGCTGTCACTACCAATTGACGTCGGCACAAATCATTTCATTGAAGGGCATATCATTAGATAATTGAATATTGATGCATCAAATCAGTTCGCTATCATCAATGAAATGTTAAATGTCAATCGATAGTGAAGTCAAACATTTTTCATTTCAATTGTCGAGTGATTTATTGCCGAAATACTGAAACGTATCAACTTGTATCTGAGTATTTCTGTCTTTAGGAAATAAATTGGAAAGCCGGAGCATGAGATAAAGCATCCACTTAAAATTGAGTAACGTTTCAATATTCGAGCGTTATGTTCATTGAATAAGATATTGTTTCCAGTAGAAATAAACACAAAGAATACTGTTTACGTAGACTACGTTGTTTGATCAATCTTAAGATTTAATCAACTGATTCACGCATTTTTCTTCTACGTACCTAGAATTATTGTGTAAGAGTATTTCCCTGCCAAGTAAAATATATTTCTTCGATATGAATCTCGTTCCACTTTTACAATCTTTCCTTACCCCAGGGATCGAGTTACAGGAGCGTTTCCAGAGCTCGCATTTCATTAAAAGCGACTCGGGACATTTCCCACAAATTGCCAGCGATATTGCCAATTTAATATGAATCTTTAAGCTCTAAATCGCCCATTACTGATTTGCTTACCAATTCAAGCGTTTGTTCGTCGCATTGCATCAGTTACGTCACAATAGTCTGCCAGTTAAAGCACTCTCTACAATCATATTCCTTGAACGCGCTTACAAGTCAGTGCTGTTATTTAAGTTCAATGACTTACACAAATTGATTTCTGTTAGATTTGCAATGCTTTGGAGATTAATTTGAAAATCTAGTTTTTGTTTTTGAACAAGAAACTGTTATTATACGCATATTAACTTACCAACTGCATAGCGATCATTAATACAGTCTTTAGAGAGAATCGACGGCCGCATAAATCGAAGAGATCCTCGAGTGACGGGCCCAGCAGTTCCATCACCAGTGCGTTGTATTTACCGCAAGGGCCGAAGTAATACACCTCCGGTATGCCCTCTGCAGTCGACGGCGCTACAGGAGTCACGGGAATTAGGGGGAGGAGGGGGGGAGGACAAACCGAACACAATTAGGTACTTACTCACATTTCAATACACGAGCATTGCTCTCGCACGCACCTGTACGACACAACACTGTAGCCGATATTTACAAATTACATCATCAAACACGACAGGACACGCGAGAGCATTGCTACGTGTTCAGCCTTATAAAATAATATAACGAAAAAATAAAATACATTTAGACGGGCCTCAACAACGACCATGACCACGGCGCGGACCCTCGGACGTCGCGATTATTGAATTAGAATTTGGATATCGGTTACGGTGTTGTGTCAAAGAGACAATCACCTATCTACCGGAGAATTGTTTTACGGCACTTACGAGCTGCATAGCAATCATAAGGACCGTCTTGAGTCTGAACCTTCTGCCGCAATGTACGAATAGGTCTTCGAGAGAGGGCCCTAACAACTCCATGACCATGGCGTTGTAGCGGCCACCACATGTTCCCAAGTAGTACACTTTTGGAACGCCCTCTAAGCAAATTTCATCGTCAACTGGATTATTAACTAGCTACTATAATAATCAACTCTTAAATTATTATACATGCTCAATTAATTTTTATTACGAGTGGTGCCAATGGTTAAAAATTTCAAAATAATTGAAATGACTGAACAGTTCCAGAAAAAATGGACATTGAATTCAGTTTTAGTACACACAAGTCTAATTATAGCTTCATTCAGAACTTAAGATGCACAATATAGTCGTGGGTTAGTCACATATTTCGTTTTGCAATGATCATGATTCACCATTTAAAATTGTTGGTGGACCGATATGAAGCGTAAATCAGTGCTTCGGTCGCGGCCCGCTCAATCTAGCATTTTCGTAACAATGTGTAATTATTCATGCAATTAGGGTAGAACTTACCATGCGTGCCTAATAACTTGTAAAATCGGTATTCTAGATGCAATTGTGGAGCCTTTGATTTCATAGGCTCCATCTTAATCGCTACATGTTCATTGTTGTAGAGATTTTTGCCTGAAAGAGAAAGTTGTTATGTATTTAACTGCATACTAAATGACGTAGCAATATAAATGATTAAGTTTAATGTCTGCTTCCATGTTCTAGTCACAAATGGCTGCTCGGTTATGGAGTGCAAGGTGCCGTGTCGGGCAAAGTGGAAATGGCTTTTTCGATTTCATTATTGTCTATAACCTAGCCTTAACGTGGGCGGTGCATAGCGATAATAGAAGTGCACCCTATTACACGGAACTATGAGCATAAGTCGAGCAAAGTGGGCGTACTACACACCATTGCTAGCAACAGAGGCCTACTCATAAAAACAAACATTGTGTTACGTATACGAAATTAAATAAACCTCGTTTTTATTCGGATGTCTTATTTTCATGACACAGTTACACGACTGTCTTTAGTAAACATTTAAAAATAAAAACAACACCATTTTATTGTGTGTACTACATTATATTGTGAAGTGTGTTCGTTAAAGCATTTCAAAGTTCAACAACGTCACCGACTTGAGTTATCGGCGTTATCATTGATCATAAACATCGTCATAGCATCGTATCAACATACTATGTATTAGATCTCAATAATCTATATCTTATCAAGGGACAAATTAAATGGAACAACAATGTTTCATGTTATAAAGCCGGTGAAGCGGTGACATACAAATTGAATTAGGTACAAGAAATACTTTCGAGTGCTGTAATAACTTTGGGCTAAGAGCATGTTGGAATTCTCTCTGATTTATTAGGTAACAGTCATATTCCTTCCTAATAAACAAATTTAATGATTTCATAAAAATAATTTTAGAAATGAGCTCATTATTGTCGTTGATTTTGTCACAAACAATTCTGTATTTCCTATGATGCGCATAACTGCGTCATCATAAGGATCTAACGCAAAAATAAATAATCTGTTTACATGTATGATTTCCACTGAATTTCAGGAAACATAACGTCAGCTACAACAATCGATGGTATGAGTAAAATGTACGAATGCGACCTAAACATTAATGGAACAAGATGTTATTAATTTAATTGCTCTTTCGATTACAATCGTTACGGTAAAATGTTAAATGGAGGAAACAATTATAACCCACACAGGAAACTAAGCAGGAGTAACGAAGTACTTTTAATTCGTGGGATTTTTAGCTTGATTAATTTCACCGTGAGTGGTACATTTTTAAAAAAACACGGTTTCGTAAGTAAATAATGTATGTATCGGCTTAATCACCTCACGCACGTGTCCGCAATAATGTTATTTTCAGTGACGCGAGGTTGAATCCAATTCTCATCCGCACGCAGCCATATAATCTCTCAGACAACAGCCATATGAAACCTTACCGCCTAGAAAATAAGGCTCACGTGTTGTGGACCTCTGACATTTCAATATACATATTCCAAGTACTTTGTTTAAAAGATTTCGTGGCCGTTGTAAAGTGATCATATTGTTGGGCACGTGTGAACGGTGGCTAAGGCTCGTTTGAAAGAGCGTTTCCGAATACTGACAGCGAAAGAATGAGTCATAAGTCTTCCATTATTACACAGGTCCTTTGTTACGTACTTTGCTTCTACCTGCTGGATGAATATTTAAAATACGTATCGGTTGTGAGAGAAAATAATGTTGTACTCTATTTTTCTACGCTATTATGCCGTCTAATATACTACATCACACTAGTTAATAGTGCCTTTAGATATACGAATCCGATTTTTCATAGCACCACAATAAATAACCTCTGTTATCAAATATCTCGACGAAACCTTTCAAATAAAAGTTGGAAGTTTCATATCTCACTTTAGTATCTGCGATACTGCGAGATATTTTCGTAAGTAATATAACTTACACTTTGCAAACATTAGTTTCGCTTTCTCCGTTAAATATAACGGATCTTCAGGCGCCATCAAAATAAAATGTGTTGTATCGCATAAAGCAACATGCAACAATAATATTTATGTGTATGCGGTGATGGAAAGCTTGCTAGCCTTTCGAATACAGACAGCATAGTGACCTATTTTCCTTCAACTGACTGTTACAATAGGAACATTTACATTCGATTCACTCTGTTTCCTATCAGTTCAAGATCTTCACGACAATGATAACTTGACCTTACTAAATGATTATTATTCCACGAAAGTTTTTTTGCTAATCAATTTAATCGTATCAAATTAAGCTTTACAACGCTTAAATACCCTATTTCCGTCCATCATATGAATAAATGAGTTAAGACAGGCTGGTCTGGCCATAAAAGTATCGAATCTTAACGGATGACGAAATGATATACGAAGAAACAGTAAGTACAGCAAAATGTGCCGGCTGTAAAATCCAGATGGTAAACTTCCACATAAATCTACCAAAGTTTTCGGAAATGGAGATTATTGCGTATTGCTAAAAATGAATGCACTGTCAGTAAGAATGTGGCTATTTGTTTCCATTATGGCAATTCAGAAGACTGACAAGGACGTTACAGAACTCTTGGAATTAGACCATGGGGTGTGTCTAAAATAGCACCATTAATAGTTTTACATATTTCAGTAAGCGTGCAAGGTCGGCAAGACGCGTTATTATGAGCATGTCATTGAGCGGCTAATGTACTTAACATTAGCCGTGCAGTCCACGTTAACATGAGCGGGATCAGGTAAAACTTAATAGCGGTTCCACATAAGCATGTCCACTTATTACTAACAGGATTTTTTGTGGTCCAAGCTCTCATCTCATGCGTCATCGCACTCACCGCTCAACGTAATTTCGAAGGAGCAGAAAACCAATCACTTATGATTCATCGCATCAAAGTTCGTTGATTAGAATCACGTTTGGGTTCTTGTTTTATATTTTGGTGTAAAAATAGATGTTTGCGAAAACTAGTGATAGGCACGTGCCAATTTTAACGAAAACCCTTTAGATAGCGGTCTACCTAAAGGGTTATTCGCTGACCGACTAACACAAAAACCTTTTTCGCCTCAAATTTTGGCATTGCCTGCATAACTATAAATATTACATCGAAGATTTGTATTGAATCTTTGCTGATTGTTTACACACAGATGCCAAAGGTATTCAGATACCGTTTTTTGATTTCGTATTAAAATAGAAAACATAGACATAGAATAAGGTATAGAATATTAATTGTACCAGACGAGGTAGCAGACATTAGGCTTAAAGTTACACTTATATGGAAATATCAATACAACTACAGACTTGCTATTATCTTAAATTAAATAGTACCAGATTAATTGCAATACCGACATTTTATGAGGAACCACCACCAGCAGAACTTGCTGATACTCATATCTATGGAAGACCAACTATGTTTACTTTGTGTAACTTTTTGTGACGAACTTGTTATATATTACTTACCGAGCCTAAGTTCGCCAAAGTTTCCGCAGCCGATCTTTTTGCCGACGCGGAAATTAGGCCCCACCATAAGAACGCCCGAAGACGAGGTGACGGAATGCCTCGACGTATGCATTGCGCTGCTGCCGCCCACTCCACGCCCGCCCACCGCACCGGTTGCGCTGCAACAGTGTACACACAGCTTAAGATCCTGTACGATAGTGAAACTAAAGAAAGATAAAGAAAAAATGTTTACAGCTTTTTTAGACAAACAGAGGAAGGTGACATGGGGCATTTAAGTTCACATACTTAGGATAATAAAACCTTTTCATTTCCACTTATTCAATAATATTAATTATACGCAAATTTCCGGATAACGATTACGTGTTTTTGGACAAGTAACGATGCAGTATCGACATCGATTGATGATAATGTTTGTATCATGAGAATGTCGCAATGTTATCTCATATTGACAAAACTTTTACCATTTAATTAGATATCTTTGTAATTATTTCTGATATTAGGATATTTATTCTCTAAAGGAACTACACTTGTTACTCTTTTAATCCCCATTTAGATTGCAAAGCTTCTTACTTAATAGGAATGCCATTACGCATAAAATCTTTGAAAAGGTGGGCCGTGAAAGAGCATTTCTTTATAAAGAGGTTTTAGCTCGCTTGTGTTTGTCACTAAACAAAAAAGGTATTATTGGCGAGGTTTTTTAAAAAAGGACGAAATTAGAAGAGCCCCCTGCGAGATCAAAGACGTAGGTATGCCAGAATCAGGTTTTTTAAGGTACTAGAGTCATATTGCTTATTGCCTACGTAGGTAGTTACGTGACGAAGACTTTTGGAGACCTGTGTTACACGTGTTTTTTTATCTACCTTTTCGTCTCTTTACGTCATCATACGTAATACAGACATTTCAGATATCTGATAGGATATTAAAGAGTCGTAAAGTAGGAAGTTTAAAAAGACCTGTTGAATAAATTAAGACAAATATTTTAAGCATTTCAATAAATAAAACAAAGCGATAAAATACCATACTTATTGTTTATCTGATAAAGTGAGTGAATAATAGAACTACCGGTGATTATGATTACTAACCAACATTTTAGACTGAAAAACCTACGTAAGTTACATGAACATAGAACATTTGCTAGTATTTGTACAAATAGGTTAGTGGATGCGGTAAAATCAGTTCATCACGCGACGTGTAACACTGAACTAAAAGGTAAAGGTACTTGATTATAGGTAAAATAAACAATAATGTTTTTGTAAGCTATAGTATAGATTTTTGCTTTTAGTGTTTAAGGTTGAATTCCACGACCTTGATATAACGAGCGAGCTATAGATTTTCGGAGTAATGGTGTTCATTCATGCACGCCCTCTGCATTTCACAGATAATATTAGACATGCATAGATAAACACTGCGGTTTAGCGGAAATCAGCCTAATGGAAGAACAACATTCAAGGAATTTGGTTCAATAAAACCTCCTTCTATTGAAAATTGCCTTGCTTGCTTTGGAGCAAGGGAATAAGTCTGTACAGTTTCATAGCATGGACAGATAATATAAAACAATAGTTATACTGCACACAACACATTGCAATATTTAGTTCTGCAACTTATAACAATGAAATAGGAAAATCAGATAAGTACAAGCAGTTTACTTTGTGAAATATGTGTGTTAATAACGAAACTGGAATAAACTATGTCTTTAACAAGTAATATTTTAAAATGACAAATATGACCTGTACAAAGAATAAGAAATGTGTCTGTCAAATATTTCTTTGGACATGAATTACCTACATTATTATTTGCTATGAATTGTTTTGTGTTAAAAGAAATATCATTTCAGATTTCTGCAATAATAACAATGAATAATACAGGAAAAGTGTAATAATATGTCACATTGGCAGTTACCGTGAAACTGTCGGATATAAAATGAGTTTTATCTCCATTTTCATAAATCAATGTTCTCTAAAAGGCACAAGATCTTTTTCTTTGTGAAATCCAAGGATTCGTGTACATTGCTACAGTAGTCAGCCAATCAGAGCATTGTTGTGATGCAACTGTCACTATTGATTGGATTTAGAAGTAAACAAGTTGTGTATTGCAACTTGGTGTTCAGAAAGAAGCCACACACAAGCTAAAAGGCTTATCCTCAGTGAAATAGAGCTGATTAGTCTTGTTTATGACAGATTATAATCTGTGAACTTGGAGGGACCTTCAATTCATAAACAATGTCAATTGAAGTGTCACAACACATTTATAAATAAAAGCATGCAAACCAAATGATATCAGCGTCTATTTCAACTAGTTATTGAGGAAATAGGATACATTTTAACCACTATTACTAACTATTGTATATGACAAATAATTTTAATAAGGTGTTTCCTAAGCAAGTACTTTTTTTTATATTGAATAAGTAATTTATTAAGCAGGAAAACCATTACTGTCAGTCAACAATTAGATAAATGTGAAATATTAAAATCATGTCCTTAACATAACATAACATCACGCCTTTTATCCCCGATGGGGTAGTTAGAGGCATATTATGCCACTGTACAATGTAACACCCACTGTTCACTATTTATGTTATATGTCCCATATAATAGGGGTGAGCCTCCTTAACAAAATTTTTATTAATATTTTTGATTTACAAAGGACATGATAGATACTGTTAACACTTAAAGACTCGCTAATGGGTCTAACGGACCCAGTTGTTTAATTTGTTTGTAATAACTTTTAAGATTTGACGTTTGTGATGTTCCCGTTCTTAGTACCTTTCAACAACAGTGTAGCGCGGCAAATGCCGATCGTATTCGTAAGTTGGCGCCCTGCGAGTGAGTGCTATAGACGTATAAGGTGCGTATGGGTCCTCTGGACCCGGTAGCGACTAAACACGTAAGCGTTCTTTTTCTCATCATAGTATTATTTATAGACTTGTTTTATGTTTATTTCATAGAAAATAGCTTCCAATAGGCCGTTGAGACTTGATGAAATTGAAGACTATGACTATGAATGAGATATACTATGACTAGAGAATGTACTATGACTAGATAATGAAGAATAAATGTAAAAACTGGTGAAAAAAAGAAACCGGAAATAATAACCGACTATAATGCTTTGAAATGTGGAGTCGATATAGTTGATCAGACGATTGGTACGTATTCTGTGTCAAGACGAACTCAAAGATGGCCCCTGTGTATATTTTTCGGAGTATTGAATATTGGTGGACTAAACACTTATATTATTCAGAAGGCTAATGTATCTTCAGATAACTTCACTCGAAGAGATTTCATCAAAACCTTGGCAATTTCTCTGATTCAACCGCACCTTCATGACAGAATTTCTATCATAAACATTCCACAGCATATCAAAAACCATATCTGAAATATAATTTGAGAAGTCGAACCAACCGCGGCATCCAACTCATCCTTGCCAATTGCTGGACGAAAAGTACGTTGCGGTCTTTGTAATTGGAAAAAAGATAGAATAACCAAAATTTTTTGTATAAAATGCAATATAGTCATTTGTAGAGAACGCGTGAAATACGTGTGCTCCAATTGTTTTAGTAAATTAGAAGAAGAAAGAGACTGTTGATTTTGAATTATTATTGTATCCCAAAAAAAAGTTATTTGATTTCCTTGATTTTCAAAGACATTTTTATTGTGTTCTTTTAGTATTGATCTCTTATTGTTAATTGTTCTACGTAGGTATATCATAGTAGTATAAGAAAATATAGAAAGGTATTGATAAAACCACTAATTACAGAAGTTTTCAGGATTAAACGCAATCTTGTCATAAAAAAATGACAAAAAACCGTTAATTTTTGTAAAAACTTGTTTATTAAGAAAACGAAACAAATATTACTGTTTGATTCATTATTGTCTTTGTTTATTATCATATTATCCCTAGTAATAAAGTAGTTTTCACTTTTATTTAGTATTTTTGGAAAAAAATAATAATATTGTACTGGGTCCAGCGTACCCGGTAGCGAGTATGGGTGTTACAAAACAAGGCGCGAGTCCTTAAGTGTTAAACATGGTCTAAAATAGAATGTTAATATGCGTTCTATTGAGCATGCTCAAAAATGTTCAAAAATCGAATGCCTGTCGATTAGCAAACATGCCTGAAATGAGCATGCTAATTTTGAGCAATTTTCCGACACACATGCTACTAAGTTTTTACCATAACTTGGTAACAAAATCAAAGTTAATTGACTGAGTAACACAAGAAGCTCATCAATACTTAAGCAGTAAAGAAATGTACTTGCATGAAATGGTAAATACATAATCCTAGTAATAATCCTATTAGTTTCACATGTTTCAATAACTTCTATTAGCAATATGTGCTGTATATACCTAATTGTAATTAGGTATATATTTGTGTCGTTGTTTGTGGTCAACCATGTTTTTACATGGTAATAAATAGTATCTATGTTGGTTTGCAGGTTCTATAATACCTCTAAAACAGTAGTAATAGAAACCTATGACTTTTTAAGACTTGCTGCAGTAGCATTATTAATAAGCCACACCACAACAATTTATGTTTATAAACACTTAAGTATAATAAAATATTATACTGAAAGTAGGTACTAGTTTTTGGGGAAAGCCTCATAAGCAGCCTGTGTTTCATAAATAAAAGGTTGGTCTATCTACCTATATTAAGTACTGTTTAGGCTAGGCTATCTCTGAGTAATAAATCAAAGTGATTAAAATAAAAGGTAGCTATCTAGTGTGTGTAATTAAACAACCTTCACAAGTGAGTTATTAGTCATCAACATCATACAAGTCATTGTTAATTGTTTGGTTCATCCTATTAATTTAATAACTTCTTAACAACAGAAGCATAGGAAAACTGAAATACCTGCATTATCTAGAAGTTTAAAAACTTCTAGATTCTCTCAAATAAAATATTAAATGAATAAAAGATAACTTTTTTGAATTTGACTTTAAACACAACTAAGATTTAACATTTTTTGATACCACAACTAACTTTAATCAGCAAATAATTATAGAAACAAATATTTTTTTAACAGAACATTTACAACGTTAGTAAAATGCTTCGTGCAATGTTTCAAAATGTATAATACCTATAGTGAATCATACCAACCGTTATTGGCATTGAGTCTAAAAGTGAAAGTTACAATGCACTTCCAACCACTAAAAGCATGGAAGGAGACAATTATCTAGCCGTGCAAGCCACCACTAGGCAACAATCAGACACATTTTATCCATAACATGAATTTTCTCTTCCAAATTGCTGTCCAGTTCCCATTGAACCAGTTTTAAGTTCAATACTACTGCAGTTTTATTACCATAAAATGTTACAACACAATAGGTAGAAATCTGTGTTTTATAGCCATGTGGATAACACTACAAATAATAATATTAACCCCACAATAAACCTGCTCCACAATGTTATTACAACAATCCATTACTTTCCCCAAATCCCCATTGAGTTTATTCATCAACTTGATTCATGTTTTAACCAAAACATATTTTAGTTTCAGATTTATATAATAAGAAAATATTATTCTTTGATGAAAACATTTCCTGTTGCATACTCACAATTTCCTATGCATAGTGGTTTGTTTTTAAATGAATACAATAACAGTCACTTTGAATATTCATTATAAATAAAAAAAATGTTAGTCACTATAGCACAAGACAGTTTACTTGTCAATTTTGAGTGACATACGAGCAAAGCACTCTTGATTTCTATAGAAAACAACTAAGTTGGTCAAGTCAGTAGTTTGAAATGTCAACGTCTCTCAAATGTGATGAAAGATAAAGAAAAAAGTTGAATATTTTCTTGAGTTCTAAACAGAGATTTTATTGAATCAATATTAACAATAAACAACATGAAACTGGACAGAGATTGTGACATTAAAGTGTGATATGTTAATGTTTTTATTAAGAACATGACAATGTTATCAACTGTAAGTACTGAGCGAGATACACCAAGATGTTTATGGTTCATGATTCATCAGTACCACAGAAACTTAGCTAGCTACATTATGTTCATTTACACTGAGTGACATAATAATAATAAAGCTTTGGTTACTTAAGCAAAGCATTTCCTAACAAACAGGTTGTTATCCTTTACACTATGTAGGCATGAATTGATTTATGTAAGATTTGTGTTGAATTTCTCTCAACAACTGTGTTCCATTAACCTTGTTTTTAATAATATTTTAGTTTACAAACATAAGACTTGTTTACTACAGAAAAGTAGTTTCACCTATTTAAAGACCATAATATTTTTATTACAGTGTGTGGAGATAGTGTGGAATTGAATTATACAGTCTGGATTTGAGATGTATGTAGGTAAGTGGCTATACATCAAAGGATAGTAAAGTACCTATTTACTACTTATCCTGATATCGTAGATTGTATTCGAGGAGATAAGATAATGTATAGCACAGCCCTTACAACACAATAGAAGCTAACCACAGTAGATATTTTATTTTATATGCAACTATTGTTTCCTGCAAGCAAAGTACCTGTGTAGTTAAATGTAGGCAGGCTTTTTAGGTCATTTTGCATGGAATAGCCACAACCTAGTTTCATTTCATATTTCTATTTAAACCTCTGCAATAAATGACTTGTTATTGTACCTAATGCAACATTTAACTTAAAACTTTTTGAAATAAGCGTCAATTTTCACTGCTACTTAATATTGAAATATTTAAATATTATATTTAAATATTAAAGAATTATTGTACTCAACAGGATTCAGAAAGGAATAACCAATAGAAACTAATTAACCAATAAGACATTGAGATGTTAAAAGTTACTTAAAATTAACCCATAAAACTTCAACCTAAATTACAAAATCACTTAACTCAGTCAAAAACTAACGAAAACCCTAATGTAGCACAGGTCTATCTCTAACCTTGGGATGCCAACAACAATAACAACCATTTACATTAAACTGAATTGTTGATGTAAGAAATCACTCTATAATTCTAATGTCAACAACATCAACATCAATAACACTTGTACATCAAAATTCAAAGATGTAAATAACTTCATGGGGTAATGAATTCATACATAAGTTCAGAAACATTCGATTGAACTGCAAAAACTGTGTTTACATTCACATAGATCATTGACTTTTATGAAGTTCTTTTTTTGTATGAGCTTCAGCAATGAGTCACACTGTAATTTCTATTAGACAACTATCTTGGTTGATTGTATTATCATTTTAAGGGTTTTATGGCATTATTAGTAATTGGTTGATACCTCACAGTATTTCACCTGCAATATGAGTCATGATTTAATAGACTATGTACTTAATTTAAAAGTTATTAAACATAAGATTTAAAGAGGAAAGAATAAAGTGACCTGAGTAAATCTTTACGAATGTTTTTCAGTATCTAAATTCATTAATTTGAAATAGATCTATTATATCAACAGCCTTGTGACCGTTCACTGCAGGATCATGAGACTTATCTACATATTTCATTTGTATAGTATAATTTCTACCTTTAGTAGACAGCTTGGAGATCACCACACTACTAGATAGTATACCAACGTGATTCATAGCTTATAAATTATTAAAACTATTGAAACTGTTCCATATTTTAACTCATTCTATTCTATTACACATTGGTAGATCACACGGTGTTAGGTCTTGGTATGAATTCCTAACCTCTTATTGGTTACTTGATACATAATCAGAAAAGGAAGAAGTAAACTACACAATTAGGTATTATTAACCTGTGGTGTGAACAAACCAATTGAATCTGATTTATGACCGAATTAGGACTATGATTGTTGTTTTGAATAATTCAATATAAGCATGATAGAATGTATGAATGGGAATGACTAAGGTGCTAAGTCCTAGGTCAGCGTGGTTGGGTACATTTGGTAACTGACTTGTGTCATTAAAATGCTAGTGTTAGGGGACTTTCGACACTAGAAAGTTATAAAAGAAGATGCTTACGATGTTCTTTTGTCTTCACTCTGTCGTTCTTTGTCCTTGCTATTATCACGCTTATTCATAATACAAGACTTGTTGTGCAGGCGCAATGCCCAGCACTCAGCTCACTCCCTGTGTCCAGCGTCTGTCGGGGCCGCAGCGCAGCCCATGTCACCACAGCCTCCGCGACATCAGCCAGCGACGCGTCTCCATAACACAATCCAACACAACAACACTTTTGTCACTTCTTTTATATATTATATTGCTATTTTTTTCTTCACTGCGTTACTATTACCACTGCACTATTATACAATTTATCTCAAAATCATTTTTGTTACACTGCAAACACAATTTGAATGTGATACGGAATGCTTCGGCGACACCAGACGAATCGTTTCGGAAATCTTAAAATGATAACTGTCCTTTCTTTACCAGTTATAATTGATTATTTTATGCGATTTTACTCGGAAGGGGAGCGAGAGTGAATAGAGGTCGCCGTGCCAATGTTATGTTCATTGAAGAGTAACAACAAGCGATGTGGGTGTCCAACTTAGTCGAATTACCAAATCACTACGAAGCCTGCGAATCTTGTACCAAATAACGTTATACGTGTAGGGCTAATTAATATTTATTGATAAAAGAAATGAATGTATCGAAAAAATGTAACAATTGACAGTTCCTTGTGAGAAGTCAACCCCAATAATTGTCGGTCGGCACAAAACGTTTTGAAATAATTTACAACAAGGATTCCCAAGAACGGACTTAGAAGCACTGGAGGGAATATCAATCAAAGTAAAATAAAGCACAATTCGCGATTTTTAGGTAAGTTTCCGTGAGATTAGTCACAACGTCGCCGAAACATCAAATGGACATTTGTTCTGATAAAAAAGTTTAGGTTTTGTAATGGCCACCAATGTTACACTTTTAACACTTTATAAATTTGGATATGAGAGTTGTATTACCAAAAGTTGCAATCTAAACTAATTTATAAATTACACGTTTACATAAATATATTACCAACTAACGATAAAATTTCTTATTTATAAAATATTTAACTCAAAGAATAGTCACTGATTCGCCATTCGGCGCATGCGCAAACTTGCAGCAGTTTGTGTTGTCAGAGTAGATAAATACTTTTCGTTAAACGTAATTCTTTTTCAACATCGTTATTAATTTTTATTTTTTGATACATTAAATGAAAACTATGCACATAATCATATTAAGTTAAGAATTCAATAATTTATTCAATGGTATATACCAAAACAAACTAAAATGAAATTGTCTTAACATTTTATATATTTCACTGGCAACATTATTTTAAAAGTAAAAATATAGATTGCGTTCATGGCGTACTATTTTCGTTCGTTTCATTGCGTTTTATTATTATTTTATTTTAACAAATACTTTTATTAGAAAATAAAGAGTAATTCAGAAACTAACATTTTAAGTTTTGCAGACTAGAAATGAAAATCAAAATAAATTAGTTTTTGTTTACGGAATCCATAGAGCTTCTTTCTTCTGATTGGTCACTTTTCAGAAATGAATGAATAATTCTTATTGGTTGGAATTTGACAAAAGAAACATGTGTTACGTTGGCGCTAAATTTAAAATACGCTACACTACGGTATCACGGTACGGTGATGAGTTATTTTTGCATTTTTGATGTAATTAAATTATTAGCTCACTAAAACTTAACTCGTCGAGTACCGGTTTTGCAGACACAATTATAGAACAATAGGTTGCGGTCACCGGTGACCGCTTGGTATTTGACAGTTTAAATACATTATACAAATCATTGTAAATATCGTATAAAAGCAGATTACTAAACTTCCCAAGTTCTATTAGGTTGCCCTAACCTAATATTTAAAACTTGAATTGTCTACTATTTTACGTTACAAACACATACTTGTAATATAAGTGTTTAAAAATTAATAACGTATTTGTTTATACGTTACGCTATCTACAACGATACTTTGCCAAAAAGTATAAAACAGTACCGGTTTGGCAATACTGACAAAAAGTAGTCAGGTACAAAAAGCCGCTGCGAACGTCACATTTGGCCTTCACCTGTTTTAAAGCGGTTCGTACTTTGCTTGGGTGCGGACAAGATTATAACGAATCTTTGCCTTATTTAAACGAGAGTGACACATGGTAAGCAGTGCTGTACGTTTGAGTCTACTATTTCGATGTTATTGAATGTAATTTCCTGAATCTTTGCTTTAAAGTGGATGGGAAAATGAGGATTGTGTAGATATAACAACTATTTAAAAATGGCTGACCTTGTTGTACTGTTAACGTGTCACGTAAAAACCAAAATGTTGTTAAATGTCATTTATCTTAGATAAACTGTCAAACACCAAGCGGTCACTGGTGACCGCAACCTATTGTTCTATAATTGTGTCTATAATCACGGTACTCGACGAGGAGTTCCTTAAAATATAGGAGTTGATGAAAATGGGCTTCGATATCCTATTAATTATGTTAGTAGATTTGCTTCCTAGAGATAAAACCTTGACTCATTTTGAATGGAATGTTAGTCTTATGTCACTTGTAACCTAACCTACCTACGAATAGGTTTTTTTGATGTACAACTTTAAAACCACCCCGTTCCTTCTCCTGCACTTCGAGCCGGAACCCCGGTAACTCGTTAAGTTCTCCGCGGCTCCGAATCGGCATCAACCCTATTGGGCCTCATCCGTGGTGGTCTGATGGCTCTAAGCTGCGCGAGGAACGCGACGCGCCGTACGCTCGGGTCTGATTTTGGTCGGACGGCGAGCCACCCATGCTCGCCAACCGCAGGCCCGCGCTTACGGTGGCCGGAGATCGTCTCGCGATCCCGACGCCCGAAGTGTCCTTCGCGATGGCTGGATTATTAATGTATACTTACTTATATATAAGTACTATTATTTTTTTTATTGTATTATGTTATATACGTTTATCTGACTTTATACTCATACTAACAAAACATTTAATGTGAGAAAAGACCTTTGCTCAGCATAATCAAGGTTGGCAAGTTGCAAGGCATAACACGTTACCTATGTTAGGTAAGTAGGTAACTATAAATCTAGAAATCCACGTAAGTACCTACGTTGAATTCACCTTTTATTAATGTTAAGCCTTTGACTGCCGACAGAAAACTGCTGAAGGCAAATCCTCCGCTAACGTAGGTCACCGGTGACCTACGTGACGGTTAACGTGTTAATATTATTCCTTTTTGAAGCAATGCGCCTAAGAGTGGCTAAGGGCCGACTAAGTGATAATAAGACAGATTACATACTGGCTGGGCAGTAGTACTCTTTATAATAATCTTGAACATTGATTAAAGTTAAAAACTGTGATTGCAATAACCGTCGTGCCAAGCTTAGAACTGAAAATTATGATAAACCCCCCTTATCTATGTGAGGCCCGAGACCTATTCAGTAATGAACTGCTACTCTGCGGGCTGTTGATGTATGTCTTATGTGAACTACTGGACAAAGGCCCCTTAGTCCTCAACGTCGAACATCTTGCCACCTGCATCTACTGGCTCTCCACGACTCTAGCGATGTCGTCGGTCCACCTAACGGGGGCTTGGTTTTAAAAGAAAACTTGCCTCTAATCCTCTAAATATGATTGTTTGCTTGTCTGCTTGCAATTTCGAAAACAATAGAACTTCTTCTATTGTTTTGGAAATCCTTCTTCCGCTTCGCTTGGAAAAGCTTCTCCCGCCTTGGGTTAGTCGAGAAGAAGTGTCAAACTCTTACTGACTAAAAACCACTCCGTTCCTATTCCTGCTTTCAGGATTCTTCGTTCAGCCTTCCGTGGTATCGGGCAACAGCCTTGCTGGGCCCCATCTGTGGTGGTCTGATGGCTAAAATAATAGCACTTTGGAACCAGCAATCTGAAATTCTAATTCACCGTAACCATAGTACAGTGGCCAGCACATCAACAAACTCCAATTTTTGTCATTGGATTTTCGACTTTATATCTAAACGGGCGACGACGAAATTTGACAGAAAAGAGTAGGTTGACATGCTCCTCATTGTACTTAGATGAAAATGTAGGTATTACCTAGGCACATTACATCCTCCGTAAATAATAGATCATTGTTACAACACGTCTGTTTGTAGATAAACATCTGTTAACATGATTTGCTAGTGACAAATCTCTTATTACCTTGATTATTGTCGTAATAAAAATACCTACCTACATTGTGTCTAGCGTAGATCCGCTTTCCGACAAACCACAGGTTAATCCTATTGCACTGTAATACTTTTCATTTCAAACAAATTGCGTTATAATATCAAACAAAACGCCCTTTCTCTCTCCTACCAATTTTAAATGTGGCTGTGCCCGATAGGGTCCATAATTGTTACTATTGTTTTTTCTAACCAACTGTATGTGTACCATATGTATGCAATAAATACTTGATAACTTGATAATTGAAATATAAAGCAAAACAAATTATTTTTTTATGAAATAGCATTTTAAGCTGTCCTTACTGCAGAGATTTTTAAACAAAATGGGTAGAGTGAAGAAGGTTCTGAGACTGATGCATGAACTTGATGGAAAATTGGAAACTAATAGACTCATAGTTTATGCATTTCGTATATATTTCTGTCTACGCCCTGTAATAGGTACCTGGCCGCTTCTATAGGACAACTGCGTGAGTTCAGTATGTAGATGTAGGTCGGTGTATTTGATTTATGCATCTGCGTTGCTGAATGTCTCGGTGCAACGAGGAAATCGAGTGCAAGGTCTAAACCGAATAGGTGATCGAAAAGAATTGAATCAATGTCAAATGGACTTTAAAAGTTGACGAACACAGTTCAAATGTTTTGTCTACACTTCAAAAGTACGTAAACACTTAAATGAAGACTTGGATCATGATGCATCTATTTTTAGTTTAGCTAGCAAACGAATCTAAGTGGATTGATTTATTCAAGGATAAATTCAAGAGCATTTACAATTGTTTTTGCAAGAGGTGTGTGCGTAACGATAAATAAATAAATCGATCCTGATAATTTTAATGTGTTTTCTTGTGCAAACTACACGCTCAATTTCGCAGATGGATAGAAAGGATAACTATTTATTGAAGTTTATTTGGCAATTTATCATGTCCAACATAAAGCTACGATATAGATACATATTTGATTAATAATGCAATAGAGAAATCTGACGGAAATTCTTTAAAACAAGCAATTTGTTGACTATGTCTAAGAGGAAAAGTAACTTTTGGCAAAACGAGAGTACACTAATGCATTTACACATGTCATAATAATGTTATACTGGCATACTAGCTACCTACGCAACTTGCGAAATTATAGTAAACACGCCGGGAGTCTGACTGCACCTATTCATATCACAATACGAGCATTGTGCTCTTGCGCCGGTTGTATTTCATTTTACATTTCGCGTATCAACGCTGTTGGTTTTACCGTTTTTAAAGGCCGACCGACACCTCTGTCAGTATACGATCGCGCGCGTTCCTATCACGACGTGTTTTATCATTTTGTTCAGCTATTTATATACGGTGACAAATTGACTGATAATCTTCAGGAGTTTACTCACGAAGTGTCCAAAAGTAAGTTTTAATTTGTTATTTATTTTTTCAAGTGCTACGTTTATAGTTTTAGAACTAATCTCTTGGTGTTGTTTCTATAATAGACATGAATTAGTTAAAAAGTTCGCTTTTGTTATATTATTGTGTATGGGTATAAACATTTTGATTAACGTTAAAAGCTATCGATTTTTTTATATACACAAATTAAGTTTTGTCCTTGTTTTTGCCGGTTATTAATAGAGAAGATAATAATGGATTGGTTCATTATGATCTAAGTGGTTAGATGCATATTTTTATATCTGGTGTAAAAGTAAAGTTTAGTCAAAGTCAAAGTCAAAGTCAAAGCATTTATTTCAATTAAACCATAATTTGGTACTTTTAAACATCAAAAAATACAAAATAAATAATAATGCATCAGTCTGTCCATCAGTGAGCTAGGTGCTCGTTCCAAAATGTAGACTCGAATGGAGAAGAACGAGTAAGAAACTCCATTCGTGACTATTGGCTTAGTTTGTAAAACTTTTAAGTATGTTTACTTAGAAGACAATTAAAATAATGTAGGTTGGTACCTTCTTAAATAAGTGTGGAAGTCTAAGTATCTTAATAAATACGTAGTGCCTATGTATTCTTATAAAATAAATAAAATAACTGCCTCGTTGGCCGAGTGGTCGCAAGTACGACTGCTGGGCAAGGGGTCTCCGGTTGGATTCCGGGTCGGGCAAGATAATACTGGGTTTAAAAAAAATCTCAGTAGTAGCACGGAGGACTTATGCACTGTATATGACAATAGGCTCACCCCCTATTACATGGGACTCATAACATAAATAGTGAAATATGGGTGTTACATTGTACAGCGGCAATAAGTACCGTAATGTGCACCTCTGCCTACAAAAACATGATTATTTAGGTAGATACGGTAATGGAGTTTTGGTAAAACAAAGTCCATATCTATATAGGTAAAACTACCTAGGTACAAGAAAATGATTGATCACAAAATGATAACCATCGATTTTAAATAATAAACAAGTGCTAACAGATTTTTGATGACTAAAATAAAATGCTTACTTACATCACCACGACATTTTATAAATATGTATGTAAAAAACGTTGTTGTTATAGGTACAATAAAATATACCCACCTGCTACCTAGTTGTTTGCATAATCATATTTTTATGTATTACAACAATATTATACATAGGTAAAAAACTTTAAAACTTTGACATAATAAAAAAACAATTCAATGTTTTTTTCATCTGAAATGGATGGAGCTATACCTACTGAACTAAAAAGATTTGACCTTACTGTCGTATTTGGAGTAATATAAAAAAATTGGGGCATTGACCCTTCTTAGACCCATTCAGAATTTCAAGAACTTGAACAAGAACAATACTTTTATTTAGAAAAGTTGTGTCGGGAGATTGTAAATGGGAATGAATAGATTACATTTATTTATTTAAGTTTGGCAACCTAAGATTTACGAGTGATTGAGGATTTTTGTATTTACAGCCTAGAGATATTTCTAAATATTTATATTGCTGAGTTCTTTTGTAGCTATAAATCATTTTGGCAATAAACACTTTAATACAGTGTTTCTCGTTAAACTTTTTTTTATGGAATAAGCCGGTAAACGAGCAGACGGACCACCTGATGGTAAGCAATCGGCGTCGCTCATGGACACCTGGAACACCAGAGGTGTTACAAGTGCGTTACCGGCCTTTTGGGGATTAGGAGTTTGAGGATCGTTGGGGATTCAGGGATTGGGGATATTGGGGAAGGGGAGGGTAATTGGATCTCCGGTAACCTCACTCACACGACGAAACACAACGCAAGCATTGTTTCACGTCGGTTTTCTGTGAGGCCGTGATATCATTCCGGTCGAGCCGGCCCATTCGTGCCGAAGCATGGCTCTCCCACACTTAGACTAGATGAATAGTGCCCAATTGCGCCATCATTTTTGGCAAGTCTTCCACTCCATACCCGAAACGAAAGCGCATTTGTGGTTTGGTCTATAACGCACTTGTGATAGGTACCAATTAATTACCACAAGTTCTAACCAGTAGCACCTAGTATAAAATATATAGGTAGGTATCTGATGTTTCTATTACTTACTAAGACAAATATATCGATCATCATGTGTGCGTTGTGCATGCTTAAACTTAAAAGCTGTAAACATAACACTCAGTAAAAAAATATGATAATATATTGATAGGTATAAATAGGATTATTATGGATAGGTATGCCTAAATATGAATGTACAGATAAACAAATGAATTAGGTCATTATTTGATTTACCTAATTAAAAATATCTGAAAACAGTTATAATAATTATTAGGCTGATAATTAAATGAGTAATAAACGAAATAAATTGTTATCATAGTCAAGTTATATGTCGCGGAGAACCTAACGGGTCACCGGAGCTCCATCTCGAAGTGCAGGAGTAGGTACGGGGTGGTTTTTAGTCAGTAAGAGTCTGACACTCCCTTCCGCCTCACCCAGGCGGGAGAAGACATTCGATGATTTTCCACCCTTCAAAAACTTCTTTTTCTGCTAATAAGTAATATGTAGGTATGTAGATATACCAACTATGATAAAAATATGTAGGTAACCATTGGTTCAGTAGAAGTGGATAAACGCTCAGGTACCCAATCAGCTCCAAAGAAGTATTTATTTTTATTATGTTTTTGGACGAACTCGACATGTATGACAAGAATTGGCCGCAAAAAGCTTTACATAGAGAGGAGTGGAAGGAGGGCAGGGAGGCCTTTGCCCTGCAGTGGAACGATAATGGCTGAAAATAAATAAAATAAATAAATATTTTTACCAGTTTTTGCTACCAATGTTTACCTGCGTACCTACTTACAAACTAATTGAATAATATGATCATATTAATAAATAAAAATTAGTCATGAATTTTGTAGCTGTTTAGTTTGATATTTATAACCTACATAAGTACCTACCAAAAACCTTAATTAATTAACCTGTATGGAGACCTTGCCAGTAAACAAATAGAAAAAAAGTTTTAAGGTTCGACATCATCATGCCAAAGTCAAAAGTATCTATCTATACCTAAGTATGTATGTAATTATGTAAAATTTACTTAGATACATACATACATACATAATCGCGAGCCTGTCTCCCAGGGGGGTAGGCAGATACGGAGCCGCGGAAGACTTAACGGGTTGCCGGGGCTCCGGCTCGAAGTGCAGGAGTAGGAACGGGGTGGTTTTTAGTCAGTAAGAGTCTGACACTCCCTCTCGCCTCACCCGGGCGGGAGAAGTCATTGGATGATTTTCCCCCCTCAAAAAAAAAAAGGGAGGCGGGGGTAGGCAGAGAGTATGGAACTCCAATTGTTAGTTGCTACGTTTCTTACATACCTCTTTCGCTTCATTGAAAGTCATAACTCATCGGTGTTTTCATGCATGCTCGTCAGTTTAGGGTACTTTTAATTTTGCCTTTTTTTATTATATCGCCAATTTCTGTACCTATACACATTGTGTCCATCTAGGGCGCTCTCTACCGACGGACCCATTCATATCTGCTAACATCATTCTTCAGTAAATCTGCTGTCAACCATCATTTCTACATATATACCTAATCACAATTATAGTTTCTTTCTGTATTCATTAAACGCTTTACCAAATGTTTATATTAAAACTTAAGTGAGACTTACTAAATAAAATATTATGTTTTTAGCTTTAGCTCACGCACCTAACTGTTAGCTTGAAACCAGTCGAGTTCCTCGTCACACAGTTACGTTTGTAAGCCGAAAACATAATAATTAGCTTAACCAAATAATACGACATTTTTTTCCTTGTCATTATTGTTTTAATTCAACCGTGGATAGATATTAACGTAGGTAATGACCATTAAAATATCGGAGTCACGTCCGTTATAAGATACCTTGATCTGTGTATGAAGATCGAATCATGCAGTTTCCTTACAAAAGAAAAAATATATCAGTATTGCAGAAAATCTTTCTTGTAAAATTATGCGATCTGATATGTATCGTATAATCATAGCACATATGTTTATATTTACATAACATTTCAAGTGTTATTTCCCGAAGAAATAGGTGTGGAAACTATTATCAGGCATCGGAGACAGTTGCATAATATAGAATTCCTAGTGTTATTAAGTCATGATTTTCAATTTGAAAAAAATATTGACTAACTAGCGACACTCCTGCACGCTTTATCCACTATACTCAGCTTCTAATAATCGCAGCGTGATGTTTCATAGCCTATAGACTTCGTCGATAAATGCACCATCCAACACAAAAAGAACTACTCAAATCGGACCAGTAGTTTCGGAGATTAGCGCATTCAAACAAACAAACAAACAAACAAACTCTAGTATAAAATGAACTTTTGGTTTCATAGTTATTAGTATGTATTTTGCACAATATCTAAGTATCCATCTTTGTGCGGTCCATGGCCCTCTACGGCGCCCCTGTGTGGGCGCCGAACATGCTGCGGCGTCGCCGCTCGGACGCTGCTCATGTCACAGAGGGCCAGTCACGTTCCGCGCGCGCCTCAAAGTGCCATCAGATCACCACAGACGGGGCCCAATAGGGCTGTTGGCGATTCGGAGTCGCGGAGAACCTAACGGGTAACCGGGGCTCCGGCTCGACGTGCAGGAGAAGGAACGGGGTGGTTTTTAGTCAGTAAGAGTCTGACACTCCCTCCCGCCTCACCCAGGCGGGAGCAGTCATTCGATGATTTTCCCCCCTTAAAAAAAAA